GCGGCCTGGCCTTAGAATGAGACTGAATGGTTTTGTATCGATTTTGAGTGATATATCCGAAAGTGCTGGCCATGATTGCAAAGAAACGCTTGGGTGATGGCTATGCTATTGAAGCATTGCAACGTATAAAATGCGCACGCACGAATGGAAACTAACGTAGGAATGCAAAGCGAAGATAGACAAAGGAACTTTAAAAGAAGCAGAGTCAGTTGATCCGTCCAAAACAAATGCAGCAATTTTGCGCTCGTGTAATAATTCCTACGTATGCGGCGCGCGCAGAGACTCATCCCGTGATTCCTCGCGACCGATGGTGGGTGATATAGCCTATAATCGTTATCGTACAATTTCAACGCAAAAATTAGCGCCTTATTTTGCTGCCTTTGTACAGGGTTGCTTTCCTCAGGTTTCTCTCCGATCGGAGTGGCTCTACCTACAGTATCCGCATCTCAGCCACGGCCGCAGTTGTCTGGTTCCATTGGAGTGAACAAGGTTGTTGCAGATGCAGTATCTTTGGAGAAAAACGAGGAGAAAGACGACGGCGATCATCCTGCGGAAAAGCGTGTTAAACTTGGTGAAGGAGAATGACTCTCTTTTTGTCAATTTTTATTAGAAATCTATCACATGTATCGCAAATAATCTATATCTGTTTGACCGGTTGCTTTTGATTCTCTTGTGCACATCTTTTCATTTATACGATCAATTTCTCGCCTCTTGACACGTAAGCAATTGTGGTTGATCTTAATAATGCTCTTGTATTTTTAGAATTCACAGTTCTCGAAATCTGCAAAAAAATGTAGATTGTACATAACTTTACTTGTACCATTGCACAATCAACTTGTTGTGAGATGTTTCAAATCGCAAATTTATACATCAGATTTTTTTCAAGATTCTCAGTCATTTAAAGTTATAGTTTTGCTCTTAGTCAAGGGCGATTGTCGTCAACGCTTCCTCATTCCGCGGCTGCTCATTATGAATGCTATCTCTAGGACTGCCGTGGTAGTTTCATTGAGAGATTTACGAGATTTAAATACTCGCTTTTTCATGAGGTTCATTTTTCCCGGTACTGAAATTCTTTGCTGGTATCAATTACGACATTTCCTCAATTTCTTCCCTGATTTGGTACCCTACTTTGATGTATCCGTGCTCCATTTTCAGTCTCACGGTTTGATTCCATTTATGACCGTGGTAACCGATCGTCTTTCCATATCCATCTCATTGGTCAGTCTCTGTTATATATAGATCTGCACATAAAAGAGAATTTGCATTTTTTT